TCGGATTCTGTGCAAACGCCAGCGCCCGCGCCACAATCTCTGGCGGGCTTGGCTAAGTAAGTTTGAGAACACAATCTCGCTCATCTATGGTTTAGTTTTTATTTTTCAACCTTCTCATTTGTTTCGCCTTGTCTTCAAAAATAACCATTTATTAGGAGTGTATACATTGGTGTGTGCAATTTCGCAAAGGCAGAGGAGCAGGTTACAAAGCGATCGGATTTCCGCGTTTACCATCAGGTCAGGCTTATTGCAGATAAGCTGATGAAATGAGCTTTATGTTGAGAATTAGATCTGTTTTAGCTGGCTCATCGTCCTCTCCTGGATGACCTTGAACAAGAGCTGCCACTTATCGTCGTATACCGTACAGCCAATGGCTCTTTCAGGTGAAGAATCTCTCTTCAAAACAACGGCATTCTTACCATATAACCGACTCTCTCACCATCTCTTACAAAATCTCTCCAGTTAACTTTCCGCAAGCTTTCTCTGTACTTGTTGAACCACTGTTGCACTCATTTGCTTCTTTTCCTCCATGAAAGCTCTCGTCGGCAGTTCTTCAGCAGTGGGCACACGCTTCGCTGTGAGCGGTTGCCATGCGGCAAAGGAGGTGAGGCTATTCGCTTCAGCGACGAACGGTGAGGTCAGCGCAGGAATCCTCCATATCTGTAACTGTAACACACCCTGACCGCTCCTTCCACCACTATATTGCACATCAAAATAGTTTGCTTTCAATTTTAAAGATCATTCATCGACCAAACAAATCAACCGTATCTTTCAGAGAGGGCGGAAGTGGTGTAGTGGCAAGTGGCACGCTTACCACGCGAGCGGTCCGGGGATCAAATCCTGGGTCCTGGGTCGTGAGTCGCCCGGGCCAACCAAGCCTTCCATCCCTCCGGGGTCGGTTAATTGGTACCAGACTTGTCTGGGAGGATAAAAACACTGACTTGTACATCGGCTGGCCCCCGCAAGTCATTGTATAGGCCACATCGCATTCAAACGCCACTACGAATGTACAAATGGAAGTAGAATGCATCCAAAAAGGGATTGATCAACGGCAAATGCTTTATCCTTATCCTTATCCTTATTTTTTAGATTATTATTCGAGGCGCTAGCGACAGGAGCATGATGGTTGCTGGCATAATGTTGGCTTTTGCGGTCAAACCACGTCTCTCTTGGTAGCTGAGTTGTCCACTTCGGAAAAAATGAGCAAACCACAACAAAAGGATCTCGCTTCTTTCGCTTTTGACAGATTTCTGCGCTTTTCGGCAGTGACGCTCCATTTTCCGCTTCACCCCTCCTTCCGTTTTGAACCCACCCGTGATTATCGCAATTACTGCCTTAGGTTGTTCAAAAATAAATAAGTGAACGATGCTCAGTATATTTTCTGTTTCAGACATTATCCGATACGACGACGTAAAGTGGGAACGTCATCGTACTACTATGTTGACTACGGCGACCCTAAAGCACAAGCACACGCTTCTCTTGATCATCTCGTTCGATATTATCAGGTAAAATACCACCCAAACGTCCACCTGCTTACTGTAAAGTGTTATCTACAGATCAACGCTCAAAGACATCCAGAAAATGGCGAATACGCTGATCAATTCCCGTGGTGGGAAAGTTCATTTGTGAGCGAGCTTATGCCTGAGCTAAGATTTGACTAGATTTCATCAACTAATATTCAGTTTCCGTTTTCGTGCCAACTCATAATTTTGTGTTTTCATATCGATGCTAATTTGCATTCCAATAAAAAAGTTGAAAATGTTGCTTATGGATGAAAATCTGTGTAAAGAGCCGTTGTAAAATGTCTCCACTATAGGCCAGTCCGGCTATTTGCAGTGAGGTGATCACCGTTGCGTTCGTCTTGAGGCAATGAGGCTCAAAACTGCTCATGATATCTGCCGAGTGACGCTTTGAACAGAAATTGTGAAACTATTGATATCTTCTTCGGAAGTTTTCAAGAGGTCGATAAATGACCTTTACTGGGCTAGTGTTTCCGCGGCAGCGCCTTCTTCGAAGCTTTGGAAGGATCAAAACAATTCATGTCTACCCGCTTGAACGTCTCAGTAACCCTACTGATGTTCGAGATCAACGAAAATCATCATGAAATCCATAGGGCCCCCTGATGTATTAAGAGGTGCATCTCCATGCGACAATTTTTGCACTGTACATGTTACGGTGGGCTGCCTAGCGCTATCGTGGTAGAATATCGGATCTCTTTCAGATTCATAATGCATAGGGAACTGCGGGGATGAGATCTCATCCCCGGAGTTCCATATGCATTATGTTCTATTCCTTACATCCCCCCAACACCCGCCGACAGACTTGCTCACTTATCCTCTCTCCCATCTTACATTCTACTCTTGTTGCTGATTGCAATGCTGCAAATTCCAATGTTCCGAAAACGCTCCTTACTGGACGGTGAGACGCGGATGCGCGTCTCCAAGATCACGCTCGTCAAATCGATTGTGCCCCACGTTGAAAAAAAAGCGAAAGGCCACCCAATGGGATTTACGCGTCTCACTCGCAAGATACAAGGACATTGAGACGCAGCTGCGCATCTCACCCTGCATTCCTTTTTCTAGCACATTTGCGGCTTCTTCCTGAGTTGACCGCATTCATTTTATGGACCACACAATAACATAACTGTAAACGCCATGTTCCATAATATCAGATCATTCATCAGGTTCTTCCCATTAATAAGGAACCGATGAGGGCTTATGTCAGCGAATAGCGCAGGGCTTAAGAGGAATCCATGTTGTTGTCTTATACACGTCGACAGTAAAATGGTTACAACTCTTCTTTCAACTAAAGGTTGAGAGCGTAGCTGGAAAAGCACACACTTTGTGTTTAACTGGGATTAAGCTGAATGAGGTTGCGAAAGAAGAGATGCTGTGATATGTAGTGTGCACTTGTGATTATTGCATTGCGTATTCAATGAGATATGAATATGGGGATGGGGATCCGATATAGCAATAAATTGATAGCAATAATATGAGTCGATCGATCAGGATGGGCACATTCCGACTGCCTACAACGTTTCGTTAATATGCCCTGTCTATTGTAAGCAATTTTACCATTCAAGTTACTTTTCCATCAAGTTGGTTCTGTGCCCTTCGCTTGATTGGTCCCTTTCAGATGCATTACTACACCCTCGCTATTTTAATCGTCATTGTTGCGCTACCAAAATGCCACGGCTTTCTTGGCTTTGGAAAAATACAGTCGGTAGCCGCAGACGGTAAATTTCTGTGCAATGGCTCGCCGGCAGCAAACGTCAAAGTCAAATTGTACGACAGAGGAGTTCCGTAGAGTTTCGTATTATTGGTTTCCATTCTGGGATGGAAACAGCTCGAATTCACATGGAGGTTCGAGGCCCCGGTGCAATTCACCGTTCCGGGACGTATCGATGCCAGAGACATTTGCTAAGGATGCGAAGTTATTACGACTAATGAGACAAAGTATAATATATCATGTCTTTGTGACGGACTTCGTGAATGACTTTATCTTGATTCACGCCACGTCACTTCGCCTACGATTCGCCATAGGGGCAGTCGTCAACCGTCTTTAGGCCGATGTCAGCACTTTGACCGCGGACGCTAGCGAATCGCGCGAATTGCTAGTAGCGAGTCGCGCGATTCGCAAAGTCTGACATCGGCCTAATAGGATGTCATAGGAATGCATGACACCCACTACCACGTTTCGTTTTTGCTGAACGGTTCTAGAAATGGAAAAAAAGAAGTGGAAGATCTCTAAGTAGTCCGAAGCTCCGTGATGACAAAACTTTGTCCTCTGGATTTGCCCTTGCAGAATGGCGCTACATGTCAAGAACGAAGTTCATGTACCAACCCGTAGGCGCTAACCCTAGCATGCAGATTGAGTCACTACGGAGGAGCCAATCATTATTTTTGGCACAATTGAAAAGCGTTGCAAGGAAATGGAATACGGCTTTGTGGTGCATGCTTTGTTCCTACGATCTGTAAAAAACTGTTTAGGAGAAGTTGGTCTTGAGTCTAGTTTTGAGCGACTCCCCCCCCCCCCTTGTCAGATTGACGTAGTGAGACGGAGGCTTTTTCCCGTTGCTGTAGACATAAAGCTAGGAAAAAGTACTGACGATGAGCGCGAAGTTTTACGTGCTCTTACAAGTAGAGAAAGCCTCTACTTTTGATGAAGCAAAAACTAGTAAGAATTTGGTCTGCGGTGCTATACAAGAATTGCGATAGGATAACTGCCAGTGTTCCGTTCTTCGATACCGTGGCTTCCCTGTAGCATTTCATTTACCCCGTGGTGTCCAGCATTCCCTGCGAATCCAATAATTCCAGAATACAGTAAAGCTAGTCTGAAGCTTGGTGTTTGCTATGGTGAGCTTGACGGGTGCATGCTGAAATGAGTCCGACTGTTAGCAAGTACTCATGTACCTCTTTGGGAGCACAGGGGTTGCATGTATTAGCTCATCTCATTCAAAAATGGGCAAAATTTATTCAAATAAAATGTAAGAGAGTTGAAAAAGGTGAATATTCTGGTGTTAATTCAGCCAGACTCCATTTTTAGCGATGAACAGCTCTCAACGTTCAGGGAACAATGGAAACCGAGGAGCTTTTTTTTCCAACAACCAGATAATATACTGTACCCGCCAGACACTAGA